CATGGTCATCATCAGTGTAGTTATCTGAAAGAATACTTCTGATTTGATTTTTCTAGAGCCTCATTCATCTGTTTTGTTACTCCACTGTTACCACTTGAGAGAATCCAGGTGGATGGCTTTCCAATTTTCTCACCTCATTGTCCTCTGAGTATTTGTGTTTGTTGAGCTGGAAGTCGGGGTTGCATCTTGCTTTGTTATCTTCTCATTTTCTTCTTTTCTTAAGTTTAATTCCTATGTTGATGCTTATACACTGATTGATGCAGTTAGCTTTATTGCTAGTATTGCAAACTGACTACTTCTCAGAGTTGTCTTCCAGGTAAAGCTAACTTTTGGGTTTTGAGCCTGTTGCTAGGTCCTGCTTCTTCAAATTATTGGAAGTTAGAGGTTGGTGACTGTTGGCATAGCCTTTGGTTCTTTGGCTCTGGCCTTCAGTACTACTTCTGCCCCTCAGACAGTCTCATTCTTGGTATACAAGGAAGGACAACTTATTAAAGCAACTATATCACCTTGACCAAAGTCATACAATCAGTAAGAACAATAGCACCACACATAGCCTAGAAAGTGACAAACTGTTGTAAATATTAATTTGCCGCATTTAACTATATGAGTGAGATTTGTGGTTGTATAAAAAATTTAAGGCAGACACAGTGGCCGGGGTTTGATCCCCAAGGCATGTTGTGCTGGCCCTGCCCCCGGGGTGCACTGAGACAGTGATTGAGACAGTTCTTGGGAGGCTGAACACAGGTAGATCACTATGAGTCCAATCTACATAGTGAGACCCTGTAGACCCTGTAGACCCTTACTAAAAAATACAGAAAAAAAATTAAAAATTTAAAACATCCCAGAAAATTGTGTACAGGAAATATCCCCTAAATTTGGTGATTTTACCCTCAAGGGAGAATATGTGAATGGGATTAGGGGGAAAAAAAAGAAGAGGAAGAGACTGAAAGCAAGGGTAGAGGACAAAGGAAGGTTCTATGAACTTTGAGAAACTGATGAAGAAGACAGGAGGGAAAGACAGAAGAAAAAAGCAAAAACAAGAACAGAACAAAACAACCAAGAAACTCTAGAGACACTGTTCACTTTCATATGAAAATAAGAACAAACACTCAAGAAAAAGAAAAGAAAAAAGGAAAGAAATGTCCACTTTAGCGAGTGTCTGTGCTGTCACTAGTCACTAGTGGACAGAGCAAACAGAGCCCAAGTCTGTGTTGACTGACTCAGGTAAGCCAGCAGCAGAATTATAGTGGGGCAGGGAGTGTTCCCAGTAAGCCTCTGCCTTTATTTCCATTGATGTTCAGGCTACTTCTGAGCATCAGGCCCAAGTTTTTCAGCCTGCAGTCCTCCAAGTGCCTCCTGCTGGCTTGAACTTGGCTCTCTGCCAGTGTGGACTCAGCTCAGTGACCTCCTGCCAGCTTGAACATGGCTGTGCCTCTCCCTGACATAGGGTCTGCTAGTTGGTGCCAATCTGCAGGTTCTCTGAGTTCTGAGTTCAGTTGGCCCCTTTCCCAAGTGGCAAGCAGCTAATCGCCCCCTCCCAGGGGATGCTTGAACTAGTATAACTCAGCAGCCGCTGCAATCTGCAGTGTCTCCTGCTCCATTCCACTAGTGCTTTTCTCCATGGAGGCCTCCAGGATTGCCGGTAGTTACCATGTGTCTGGAAGTTCTAGCTGCTCCTTTGACATTGTGAGCCAGGGCTAAGGGACAAAATACCATTTCCCACCTCTCTCTTCTGTATTGAGATCCCTCTGTTTGTTCTCACCATGGGCTCCAATTTTTGCTCACATCCTTGCTGGGTCCCAGGGACCCACTACCCTTCTGTTCTCTTCCTCACATTGCTGTCCTCCAGTGTCTGGGCTCCAAATCTCCGACAGCCTGTTTCTGTGCTGCTCACAACTCTACCATCTTCCTGGAAGTCTGCCCCCAATGATTGGGTCTTTTTCAGTCTTTTAACTTTGGTTTTCTTTTAGTCCATTACATCTGATCTCTATAAACATCTGTCAAAATCTACTTATATTTTCTTCTTTACCCCTGCCACAACCTCTCAAACCTCTTCTCCCATGTCCCTCCTTTCCAAGCATAAAAATAATATCAAAATCAATTTTTTGCTTGTTTTTCCCTATTTTTCGTATTTTCTTCTATTTCCCAGCCTATTCTTCATCATGACTTTTTCTTCATCTTCCTGGGTTATCAAAGAATTGAGAGCTTTTAAAGTAATTTGTAGATTATGTGTTGATACATGGTTTTTTTCCTTTGAATGCTGAAATTAGTTCTCTCGTTGCAGTACAGTGCTAAGGACTGACCCTGGTACACTGAATAGGTTGAGTAAGTACCTAGACATTGAATCATACCTAAAGCCAAGGACAATCACAGGGAAAATTTTACTTACTAAAAAGGGCTCCACTATAGAAGCAGAGCTTTCTATCCCAACTGATCTAAACTACCACAAAACACAAGAATCATGAGGAAACATGGCAACAAAAACACCAAAATTTCTAGCCACCCAAAAGCTGACTTCAGAGACACTGAAGTGGATGAAGTTCCAAACAAAGAATTCAAAATACTAATAGTTAAAATAATGGAAAAGCTCAAAGAAGAGACCAAATGGAGCTGGATGAATTAAGGAAGACAATGAAGGATATGAAGGGCCACTTTAATAAAGAATTAGATGTTATTAATAGATCAGACAAAAATCTTGGAAATGAAAATCTCAATTGAAATTTTCAGCAATACTCAAGATCACTCCCAAAGACAGAATATAAGGACTTGAGGATAATGTTCACAGTGCAGAACGTATACTGACAGTAATGAAAAGCCAATAAGAAACAATCAAAAGGCAATCCAAGAGGTCTAATTGGAATCTAAAAGACCAAATGTAAGAACCATTGGACTTGAGGAAAGGGAAGAGATATGCTAATTATATAAAAATATGTTTACCAAAATTATTGCAGAAAATTCCCCAAATCTAGGGAATGAGTGAAGACAGGTAAAGGAGACATTTAGAATACAAAGTAGACATAAGTAGAAAGAGCCTCACCCTATCACATGATAATCAAATCCCAAAAACTCCGAACACAGAATACTGAAATTTTATTATAGAAGACCATCAGATTACCTACAAAGACAAATTTCAGAATAATAGCAGCTTTTTCAACACAAGCCTTAAAGGTGAGGACAGCTTAAAGTGAGGTTTTGCAAACCCTAGAAGAAAATACTGTGAAGATTACTACATGATATGTTACTAGATTACTATATGGTGCAAAATTATCCTTCAAAATTGGTGGGCAAGTAAAAACCTTCTGTGATACAGATCAACTACAATTCATGACACCAAATCAGTACAGCAGAGAATACTTAGTGCTAAATAGAGACAAGGACAACAGCCAAGAACCAAGAGGAAGGAATAAATCTCCCTGTGAGATTACCTAAACGAAAGCAAAGCAAAGAATTCAAGAAATGGAAAAACAGTATAATGCCAGGAACCAGTACATATATATCAGTAATAGCACTCAATGTGGGTGGGCATTCCGCCTTCTGGGTCCCTGGGAGAACAGGACTGCCTGAAGGCGATGGCAAAACAGCCCCGAAGGGGAGTTCCAGGGCTGCTTCAGGGTTCCCACTTCCCACCGTGGCCAGCAGGCGCTTTGGTGGGATGCAGGTGGACATGGCTCCCACTAAATGCATTCTCACACAGGATTTCCCTCGGGCCATCGAAGAACAGGACTGATGTTCATGTGGGTCTGTATGCAGGTCCGGTGGGTGGGCCTGTTTCTGGAGTCATGGGCTGACATGGCTCCTAGCAGTTTCCACAGACCATAGTAGTGTGGAGGTTGAGCTGAGTCCTAGAATTTCTTTAGGGTGCATAGTCACTGGATTTATATTAGTCCATTTTCTGTTCCTATCACACACACACACACACACACACACGCACACGCACACGCACACACACACACAAAGCTGAGGCTGAGTAACTTATAAATGAAAAATTACTTTAGCTCATAGTGCTGGAGGTTCAGTACCATGGCACTGGCCTACACTCATCTATGGTGAGAGCCAAATGGCACCTAGGATCACGACAGTGGAGTGGTATGTGAGCGGGAGATGCTTGCTCTTTTATAACAGTGCACTCTTGTGAAGAGTACCTCAGAGGTCCCACGAGATCTGTCCTGACATGCTCTGAAGGCAGTGGCCCTAGTGACTTCCCACTGGGCCCTGCCTCCCAAAGGTCCTGGCACCTAGCAACATCACTGCAGAGGGGACCAAGCTTCCAAGTCATGGCTAAATCATGGCCACCCGTTACGCGTCTCGTGGGACCTCTGAGGTACTCTGCCTGGGAGGGTAAACTGGACTTGCCTATCTCATGCCCCTGAATGGAGCAGGGTGGTATGCAGACTGTACACAAGCAGGTCTGGAGCCACACCCATGGCAGGTAAGCTGCTTCTGCGGTGAGGACCACAGCTTGAGGCCTGCCACCAAGATTCAGGCTTGCCTTGCCAAAGCAACTATACTTGGTTTGGGGCTCCACGGAGGTTTCTTAACCTCTTACCTGTATCTTGAGACTCCAACAAAGACACTTTTGACTCCAGGTGGCTGCCAAATCATTGTTCCATAGAGGGGAAACAGGAGCAAGGGTCTCCTAGTCCACCAGTGTGTTGCTGTCACTCTCCCCAAGCTACTTCTCTAATTGTTCCCAGGTGATGCTGTACTTGGCGTAGAAAAGCTTGAACCTGCTTCTTCAAGTACTATTAGCTTTACACAGGAACACAAGGTGCAAAATGCCTGCACTGTCCACCAGGTCAGACGGACTCTTGCTCCACTCTTCCCTGGTGCTTTTCTCTTGCACACATACGATCCTAACATATATATTTAGCACGGTTTTACTTAGACATTTGATTGTGGTAAGAAATGTACATGATAAAATAAGAAAGAAGGTGTGAAAGAGAAATTGTTTTGCATCTTGTATTTGCTTTCCACTTATCTGTGGTGATCCCTCCTAACAGGTCTTCTTTGGCAATGTAGATTCATCTGGAATAAAACACAATGTTTTCAATCCTCCAATTATTGCACGGTACATCCGTTTGCACCCAACTCATTACAACATCCGCAGCACTCTTCGCATGGAGCTGATAGGCTGTGACCTAAACAGTAAGTGAACTCGCTCCACATCCTTCCCTGCCCACATGTGTGCAGCATAACTAACTACGCTATTTGTCTTGAAACCTGGAGGAAGGGTTAACTGTCTCAGGACACTGAACAGAACTATCAGAAATAAAGGCAACACAGGCTTAAGCAAACCTGGGAACTTGCTAGCTTAGCTCTGGGATTTCCCAGAGGTAACCACATCCTACACTTCTCACACCAAGAAAAATCAAAGTTAAACAGAGCTGATTAAACTGACCAGCAGCGCACATTAGCAATAACAGAATTTGTGCAAATTTAGTGCCTAAAATTGACCATGATTACCATAGCCCTAGCGTATGGGAGCCAGCCCAGGGAAACCCAGGCTGGAGCCTGTCCTTGTGATAATATTCCCTCATCATTTCTTCGAGGTTGCAGCATGCCACTGGGAATGGAGAGTAAGTTAATCTCAGATGCACAGATCACTGCCTCATCCCACCTCACTAATAAGTTTGCTACCTGGTCTCCGTCCCAAGCACGACTTCATCTCCAGGGGAGGACGAATGCGTGGAGACCTCAGGTAGGCTGCAGCAAAGCCTTTGTTGAGGGGCAGGGTGGTCACTCACTGACTTTTCTGGGAGATGACTCTGTCTTTGCTACTGGCCTAACATATGTCAAATAATAATGGTACACTTTAGCTTTAGTTTTACAGATGAGATTATTAATAATTAACTTTCTTCCAGATTTCTCTGAACTTCAATAAAAAGGTTAATGTTAAAGAGACTTCACTGGACAAAGATATTGTTCAGCATCATCAAGCTTATTTCCATTCCTAAATAGTTCTTTAAGGGAGCTAATAGAATTCTCTTTGCTCTGCCAAGGGGTTTTTTTTATGTATTTTGTACAGGGTCTTACTACACAGCTCGGACTCATAATGATCCTCCTGTTTTCAGCCTCCTCAGTGCTGGGATTACAGGCATGTGCCACCACGCCTGGTCTTGGTGGCCGGCTCTGTGCACCCAGGGACAGGGTCAGCATGGCATGTGTTGCTAGGGATTGAACCCGGTCCCTATGCTTGCCTAAGCAAGTGCTTAGTCTGCTGAGCTATCTTGTGTGCCCTTCCAGGGAATTATTTTTATATTTATTTATTTATTTAATTTTAATTTTGTTTGCAGAACCAGGGATTGAACTCAGGCCTTTGTGCTTGTCAGGGAAGCGTTTATTCACTGAGCCATCTCCCCGGCCCTAGGGAATTATTTTTAAATGAAATGGTTTTTATGTGCATTGCTAACAAATGTATATATTTGTCAGTCTATATATGTCTCTTATATTCACTATGGATTTATTGGACACATATTAAGTGGTTCACTCTGAGGATACAGGAATCAGTTTTGAAAATTTTGGGTCATAAATTTACTTAGTCAAATAAGACTGAACAACTGTTAAAATGAAGCCTGATCTAGGCAAGGTTCTGCATGCCTGTCATCCCAGCACTTGGAGAGTTCAAGTCCTGACTAGACAACTTAGCTCTTTAGTGAGATCTTGTTTCAAAATTAAAATGTGATGTGGGTGTAGTTCATTGTGAAGGCTGCAGATTCAATCCCCATTACTCAGAGACAAAGGTTCCGAGCAGCACGTGCTATGGTATGGCTAAGATGGAACTGGAGAGTTCTAGGGCCAGGTGGTGACTGACAGACTACTAGTCCAGCACTATCTTCCTCAGGAGAATAATCCTCAAGAGTGGCTGCAAGTGGACTTCCGGAAGACAACAAAAGTCACCGGAGTAATTACCCAGGGAGTGAAGTCTCTCCTGACCAGCATGTTTGTGAAGGACTTCCTCATCTCCAGCAGCCAAGATGGCCATCACTGGACTTTCTTTTTACAAAATGGCAAGATAAAGGTATGGGTTACATAAGAAAGACACAAAGCATCTCCTAGAGCTTCATTTTTAGAGATAAAGCAGATTGATGCATGATGCAACTTTCAAGGTAAAATGTACTGAGTTATCTATGGTACCAGGGCCCTGTGAACGGTATCCTAAGGAAATGCAGTGACCCTAATCAAGGATATAAAATGCCAAGAAAATGACGTTACAGTTTCTATCCAAATGTCTCCCAAACCATGTAGAACCCCAAGCTGAGCTCTGGGTGGCGGCTAGATCATGGTGGCGTTGTGCTCATCCGTGGGTTCATTCAGATGTGTTCGTAGCTAAGTGTGGTATAGGGAGGTGGAGCCTGGTTGGAGAGGGTCACTGGGCCATGGCTGTAGGGTCCATCCCACCCCTGCTCTCCCTGATCTCTCCCTGCTTCTTGCCACCATGCCGTGAGGTGGTGCCCCTCTCCCATGTCACCCTGCCTTGCAGCTGGACATCCATAGACCGAAACCTCTACAAACTACACCACAATAAACCTCCACTCCTTTATGTTCTGAGTGTCAAGAATTGTGTCACGGGATGAGAAAGTAACTAAGACAATGATAGAGAAGAGCCAGGAGTTGATTCTCCCCATTGATCTTGCTGTCATGCAGGTTGACAGCAAGGATGAGACAGATGAACAATGAGTTGTCTCATGATTGGCGATCCTTGTGCTGTCCTCTTGTAGCAGTCTAGTTTCTCAAGCCTTCTTGAACTTCAATTTTGGTTACATAAAAAGTCTTCACTAGGTTTGCTAGATAATTCAAATGGTAGTCATTATAAGCATGACATGAAGTCGAGGGCATCCGCGGATAATGGGAAAAAGAGCTCATATCTGTCATATCGCTAATCTTCTTCTCCAGCAAGCATTAACTGTGGTGAGGTTATCCCGATTCCTTTACTGTAACCAGATGTGGGATATAATAAACTTATGACGATGAAAGAGTTCTTTAGAATATATGACAGCAATAGCATACAAGCTGGGATGATGGTAAATAGAATAAGGGCTCCCAAATCCTTCTCTAGGATGGAAAAGTGTTGTGTAACATTAAACCTTGATCATTTGATGCATCTTACAATTTCTAGAATAACCAGTAAAAAGTAATAGACTATCAAATAGGATGTAGGACCCCAAAATGATAGAAGAAAATATATAAAAAGGTGAAATATACTCAGTAAGTCTAAATGAAAGCAAGCAGAAAAAGAAACAGGCATGCAAAATAGCAAGATGGCAAAGTTAAAATATAACGTGATTATCTGTACTGCAAATGAAAAAAAAGATTTCAGTTACAAGACAAAACATTACTCAAAAAAAGTAAAACCAAAATCTCTGCCCTTTACAAGAGACATATTTAAACACTAGATACAGAAAAGTGTCAGATCAAAAAATTTAAAAAAGAAATGATGCAAATATCCAAAAGATTTGTGTTGTACTTCTATCGATGGCGGAAGAGACTATGTATGCTCCTTGGTACCTAGCGAACAATACACCCCCTGGGTACGGTATTTGGGACAAAACCGGGCTTCGATCGCCCTCTAGTGCTGAATAGTGATAACACACTCACTGTCTCCTGACAAACAGGCTGAGCCTGTCATATGGTGCTGAAATGGTGAAAGTGATGGTAGAATCAGAGAAAACAAGCTGCCTGTTTAGAAAATCTGCAGACGGGTACAGGCAGAATCAGACTACAAAGCGCTATCCAGATAGCTCAGCAGATTTAAGTGCCTGCTTAGGCAGACGCAGGGGCCAGGGTTCGATCCACCAGACCTGCTGTGCCGGCCCTGCCCCTGGGGCTCGCGGAGACTGCGATTGAGACTGGGTGTGGTGGTGCGCGCCTGTAATCCAGAGTTTGGGAGGCTGAAAACAGGAGAATCACTATGACTCCAATCTGTGTAGCGAGACCCTGTAGACCCTGTACTAAATACATATTTTTAAAAAAAGAATCAGACTAGGAAAACTGAAATGTGTAGCCAGTCGCTCACTTCCCACATGAATTGCATGCCAGCAAAAATCAAGAGAGCTCAGGAAACGTGAGCTCCACCTAGCACTCAAAGTATGATGGCAGCAAGCCATCAGGAAAGAATAGGTTGGGGAGAACTCTCAGAACCTCAAGCAGCTCTTTTAAGGAAATTCAATGACGTTGAAGAAACACAAAAATTTCAGGAGTCTATCAGAGAAACTTGACTAACACATAGAAACAATTTTAAAAATAAAAGAGAAATCGTTTTGCTGAAAAATACACTGGGCAACATTAAAAACACAATAGAAGGTGTCAATAGCAAAATAAACCAAACAAAAGGGAAAATTTGTGAGCTTGAAGACAGGCTATTTAAAAATACACAATTTGAGAAGGAGAATGAAGAGAGCTCACAGGAATTCTGGTTCAGGTCATTGAGGTTCACAAGGAACTTGAGCATGCCAACAGGGTACAAAGCTTATGCCAAGAAATAATTACAGGAAACTTCCCTGATCTAGAGCAGGATGTAAGTATCCCAGAAAGTTAATGGTCACCAGTGAGACACAACTTATGCAAGGCTACCCGAAAACCGTTACAATCAGGTTCTCAAGGGCAAGAGATAAATAGATTCTAGAAGCTACAAGGGAAGAGAAGTAATACGCAGGGGCATCTCAGTTTGCCTGATGGCAGACTTCTCCACAAGGTCATACACTGAGAAAGAAGAAAGGCCTCCAGGATCTGAGATGATATCAAAAGAAAGTAGGATCAAGGAAATAACAGAGATCTAAACTTAATGACATAAATATATAAGCATATAATAAAGAGAATAAACAAAACCAGAGGTTGGTTCCTTGAAAATTTACAAACTTCTAGCAAGATTGAGCAAGATATAAAAACAAAGATACAGATAAGCAATATAAAAATGAAAAAGGGGACATAAATATAATATCCTGCAAAAATAAGACGATATATGTATTAAACGTAGTAAGTTTGGAAAATTGGGGTCATATAGTTCAATTTCTGGTAAATACAACTTACTCATGAAAAAACAAGAAGTTAGACGTGGTAACACACGCCTGTAATCCCAACACTTGGGAGGCTGAGGCAGGAGGACTATCATGTGTTGGAGGCCACCCTGGGCTACATAGTGAGTTCAAACCCCGCCTGAACTGCATAGTGAAACCTTGTCTCAAAAACTTTAAAAGGAGGAAGAGGATTGAAAACCACAATACTTACCATATTTGTGGACTTCAGTTGGTATTCAAAAAGCTTACCATATGGCTACACTAAATATTCTACCAAATTTTCAATAGAGAACATGAATCTCACAAATATTCTTCCCCAGTATGAAAAAATTTGTACATTATTAAATGCCCAAAATGATAGCGTGACCTCAACAATAAAACCCAATAAAGACAAATTAGAAAGGGGAATAATGGGCCTATTTTACTCCTCTTTGGTGGTACCTGGGTTCGAGCTCAGGACCTTGGACTTTCCAGGCAGGCAGCTCACGGCACTGAGCCACCTCCCTGGCCCAGGCCTATTTGATTCATGAATATTGTGTTACTTAGCTTATGATCACTGTAACAAAATACCCAAGTGAATCAACTTGTGAGAAAAGGAGCAAAATGTATTAGTGTGGTTTGGAATATTCTCCCAAGGCCCCTGTGTTAAAGACCTGGGAGGTGCTGCTGGGAGGTGGTAGAAAATGTTAAGAAATTGAAGAACTGTTGCCCTGGCAGGCAGGACTGAGACCTGCCCCTTCCTCTCCTTTCTCTCCTGGTTCTCATGAAATGAAGAGCCTCCCTCCACCACAGGCCCAAAAGCAGCAAGACCAACTAACCCTGGACCAAAACCAGCCAAAGAAACTGGCAAAACGCCAAAATAAACCTTTTCTCGTTAATTTGATGATCTCAGGTATTTATTACAGCAACAGAAAACTAAGGAAAACAGGTCCCAAACGAAGTATTAGCGATACTGACTTCAGTTGGATCCAGCCTGGGAATTCAAGGTTGGCTTACACATTGGAAATTTCATGTAACTCATCACATTAACAGAATACAAGATTATATAGCAAATAAATGCTGAGAAAGCATTTCATAAAACTCAACATGAGAGACTGGGCGTGATGGTGCGCGCCTGTAATCCCAGCACTTGGGAGGCTGTAAACAGGAGGATCACTAGGAGTCCAATGTACACAGTGAGACCCTGTACACCCTGTCCTATTAAAAAAAATTCAACATGTGTTCTTAATGAAAAAAATTAGCAAATTTGATTGTAGTTGTTATGTACTACAAACATGCACTAGTAAAAGTAAAAAATTTACAAACCATCAAACTAAGGCTAGAAGAAAAATTACTTAATCTGATAAAGCAAGTAGCAAATTTATAGAAATATGAATTCTATTTTATGGTGAAACACAGAAGGATTTTCTCTGAGACTGCGCTTACCTCCACAGTGTGAAGCTGACAAGGTACCTTAAATGTCAAACTCTATTGCCTCTTTCTTCCCCTCCTACCGCCCTCCCACCAACGTTTGGGAGAGCAGCTCCGTCACATCGCGACCACCAATGGCTATGGGTAGAGTCCTCACTATGTATTCTTCTGCAATGGCAAATCCATTCACTGGGCATCAGCTGGTGGTGCCCGAGTACCTCCACCTCCAAATGACATAACGTAGGTGCTAGGTGTGCCCCTGGCCAGAATGTTCAACTGCACTGAGACTTGGAAAGTGAGAGTATTTCAGACATATGGCCTAGCTAGAGCAAAGGCCTCCACAGCAGCTGTGCTCCTCATGGTAGATGTCACATCCAGGTGCCCTGGCCACCTAACTACCCGCCAGTGCTTGGGCTCAGCTCAGTGGAAGCAACTAGAAGTAATGGAGGTGCCTGTGCTTCGAGGTGGGTACTCTGACAAGTGCCAAGGAGAGAAAGCACTGTGTTGGGAGAGCTTCTAGAAGTGAGTGACGGACAGAGTAGAAGGACAAACTTGAGTCTGGTGGGGCAGTATAAAAACTAAGTTTGGGCCAGGGAGATGGCTCAGTAGAGTAAGCACTTCCCTGGCAAGTGCAAGGGCCTGAGTTCAATCCCTGGTTCCACCTCCCACCAAAAAAAATAAATAAATAAAACTAAGTTTGCTCCTGTCAGACACTAAGAAATGCTGTCTTTCCTGTTTCAGGTTTTTCAGGGAAATCAAGACTCCTTCACGCCTGTGGTGAACTCTCTAGACACACCAGTAGTGACTCGCTACCTTAGAATTCACCCCCAGAGCTGGGCACGCCAGATCGCCCTAAGGCTGGAAGTTCTGGGCTGTGAGGCCCAGCAGCTCTACTGAGGGGCTGCCACACTTTCCTGTTCAACTTCGGACGTTCCTTGACCTGAGGCCCTCCCTCCGAGGCCTTCCCTCTGAGGCCTTCCCTCCGAGGCCATCCCTCTGAGGCCTTCCCTCTGAGGCCTTCCCTCTGAGGCCTTCCCTCTGAGGCCATCCCTCTGAGGCCTTCCCTCTGAGGCCATCCCGCTGAGGCCTTCCCTCTGAGGCCTTCCCTCTGAGGCCTTCCCTCTGAGGCCTTCCCTCTGAGGCCATCCCTCTGAGGCCTTCCCTCTGAGGCCTTCCCTCTGAGGCCTCTGGGTTGCATACTGCCCCACACTACCTAGAGCACTGTCCTTTTTTATGAATTTAAGCTGTATACTGCCTTGAAACCTCGCAAATCATTAATCATGCATTTCCTGAAAAGTTAGGACTCACACAGCCACCACTTCCTCTACTGTGAAAAAATGGTCTGTCGAAAGCTGCCAGAAGATATTCATGATGTAAGCACTTCTGATTAAGCGTCATATGCCTGAAGTAAGATTCTGACTTGGTTGCTCTCCTGGTCAAGCACGGAACCAAACGGGTTTGTGATCCCAGCCACACACCCTTAAAATCAAAAGACAAGTTATTTTCACAGTCTGCAAAATGGGGATAAGAGTTACTACATTAAAGTCTATTTGATTAAATTTAGTATCAGAACAATGTATAAATAAAGCCATTCTGTCTTAATTCTTCTTTTAATTTTTAAAAACAATTTGTGTTCGATATCACTTTGGGTTCTTGTCTGAATTCTAATCAACAAAAACAGGGTAAGAATATAGAACTATTGGGAACCCTGGAGTAAATGAATATCTCTTTTAAGTTTGTGATGACCAAGAAAATTAAAGGAAATAATGGGGTTCTAAAAACATATTTTAAGATTTCTGTGGAAAAAATGAGGGAAAACCATTGTTCAAATAACACAATAACAAAATGGAAAATTGTTGCTAAAATAATGGAACAACAGTATAATAGAAAATTTTATTTCATGACTGAAAACTACTTATAGAATTAAAATTTAAACCACTCTTCTATAGAACTTCGTGATCTCATTTTGACATTTTTCCCATTGACTATACATCTCTATTTTGCAAATGCCCTCAAAATCAGTTCTTTTTGTTTCTTGCTAGTTTCTTTAGTAACAAGTTAAATAAAACACTGACATGTACATGTAATGTACTGACATGTAATGCTTTTGAGAATTGTATTTTTACTTGAGAAGTAAAAATATGAATGATGAATTTTTTCGAGACAGGATGTTGCTGTGCAGTTCAGACTGAACTTGAACCCACTTTGTAGCCCAGGATAGCCTCCGACTTGCAGAAATCCTCCTGCCTCAGCCTCCCCAGTGCTGGGATTATAGGTGTACACCACCATGTCTAGAGTACAATGATAACTTTAAAACAAATAGAGGCACTATATAGCAAGATGGATACTTTAGAAAAGCAAATTAATGATTGCAATGAACTGAGCATAAAATGTGCTATAATTTGTGAGTGGTGAAATAAAATAAGAAATAGAGCTTCCATGTGAGAGCAGAGCTCATAGTAAGACTAAGAGAAATGGCAGTTGCTATGCAGTGGACATAAAGTTTCAGTATAATGCCGCATTTTAGCAAGACCAAGACAAGCCATACCCTGGGGGCTGGTGTGAAATTTCAGGGTTAACAGAGATATAAAGCTCTACAGGTCTGACATGCAGCACTGGGGCTTATGATTTCATCCATATTGCTAACCAAGATGAGACTTTCAGTCTTATGAATTTTTATTTCCCCAAGTAAAGAACAAATCTTCAAATATCTTATCAGAAGCAAACATTACATATGAGAAAGAGAGCTAAGGTGATGTGGTCAATTGGGTGAAAGTATTAACTTGTCATTCTTCTGAAACTATCAATTGAGAAAATCCAGAAGCAATTCCACTTCTCCTACAGCACCCTAAAATAAAGACCAGGAGTTGGTGAGTTTGAATAATTGTGGAAGTTGAGGTGAAAGGTAAACCAAGGAGAACTATTTAAGAAAATATCTAACTAGGCAGTCTGAGATGTGGCTTAATCTAACAGACCTATCAGCTCTGCCAGAACATAGGGCTTGATTTTCCTGAGTGGGGCGGATGAGGGACTTGTGACCTGGGAAACACCAGGCACGACTCAGGCATCTCTGAGGGTTACCTGGGCCTGCCCATCCCCACCAATCCCTAGTGGGCAAGAGTAGAAATCCTAAATCCTTTGTCTCAAGGAAAGTCAGGCCCTGAGATACACATTTTCCGCACCCTATAAGATCAAGCTAAAGCAGCATTTATAGAAACTGCAATTTTGTGCAGTCCCTTCCCTTCCCCTTCCCTCCCTTGCTATTTTTTTCTGAGTGCATTCCTTAAATAAATTACATGTACTTGAATTCCCATCTCAGAATCAGCTTCTAAGTGACCCAACACCCATGTTGGTATCTATGTTGGAATGTTATTAAATTAACTAATTATTAAATGGAGTGTTGAAATGTCAATGATATGGAGTCGTTCTATTAAAGACAGACAGCTTCCAAGGTAGTCTCAACTATCCAGTGACTTCTGGAGTTTATGTTCTGCCATTGCCTCCAGGGCAACTGGACCTCTAACCAATAGAATGTGGCAAAACTGGTGGAACCTTCTTCCTGAGCTAAAGTAACATAAGAGCCTCTTTGCTCTTTCTCATGCAGCTTCAGCTCTTGAACAAGCCAGTGTTATGTTCTGACCTAGCCTGAGGAGTTATTTCCAGCCAACAGCTGCTTAGAACATGACTGTAGCCTCTTGGGCCTGCTTGGAAAGATGTCCTCCACAGTAGCGGTCATGTGAACAGCCGTCAGCATAAATTGTATAGTTTCCATGGTTCTGCATATGAGTTAGCTGCTCTTACATTTGCATTTAAAACTAGTATTGCACAATATAAAAATGAGCAGTAAAATTTGTGCTGGTTAATTCAAATTATTAATTTTTTCCTAAAAAAAAAGAATAACCAATTGAGCAAAAAAAAAAAAAAATTCCTAGTACCTTTGGCTTAGTGATGAATAAGGGAGAACTACAAAGAATAAGTGGTAACCTTTTTCTTTTCTTCAATGTCACCAATTTGAGGGTAAGTTCTCAGTTCACATAGAAAGTAACTTAGGATCACAGATGCTAATATCATATTTTACACCCCTTTGAACTTCACAAAACTCCTATGTTCACTGGCATTGTAAACGCTATGCAAAATAAAGTGTCAAAAAATGGAAAGGAACCTGAACACAGCATTTATTTACTGTGCTCATGTGCATGCAACATTGTCCCATTGAACCACTGAGAAACAACATCAAAGATAAAATGATTAACCAGGCATGGTGGCACACGCCATAATCCTAGTACTGGGGATTTTTAATAAAATTAATGGAAAAAAAAGCATGAGTCAAGTTAAACCTACCCTCCTTTAGGTTGTGGGTGTCAGGTATTGTGTCTAGCAATAAGAAAGTTGAGTAATACAGAAAATTGTTCCAGAAAGGTGGTGTTCTTGCTGTGATTGTGCGTGACTGCAACAGCAAGCAGAAATCCTGAAGAGCAACACTCAGGATTTGGTGACAGATTTATTTTATGTTTGAGGTCAACTGAGTAGGATTCAGTTGTTCCTGAACACATCAGGCCCTAACCTCGGGTGGTCTCAGGCTTGCTTGGGATCTAAGCAGGAAATACAGGCGCAGAGTACTTGGCTGTCTTTGATTGGTTCGTACAATATGCATCACAATGACCAACTGTTGCTAGGAGACAGGAGCAGCTGGAACTGGAACAGGAACTAACTGGGCAACTAAAAAGCTTCTGGGTGCACTTTCTGCTACATGATCACGTAAAAGAAGTCAAATGGGTAGTCAGTCATCCCATGATCATATTAAATAATTTTCCTCCACCAATTTGAAATGTTATCTTTATCGTCTGTTAAATTCCATGTATACACTATTGCAAAGATTAGCAAATAAAATCCCATGGAATTCTTCAAGCCTAAGAGGTTACAACTAATGAGAGAATAAGTGTCGGTATCAACACCGATGTGGATGTCTGTGTCAGCTGTCAGGGAGAGGGAGGCTGGGGGAGGACCAAGTGCACTTGACAGTGTCACCTCCTGCCTTGGCCTCCCGAGTGACCAGATCACAGGTGTGCACCAGCACACTGGGCTCGCTCTGGCCTCACTGCTAGGAAGACAGAAAAAGAGGGCAAATAATCACAAATTAGTAGACCAAGGCTGTGGTAGGAGACAGTGTTCCTGTGGGGGAAACTATGAAAGTGATCAATAAAGAAAGGTATTAGAAGAGATAAGGTCAAATTATAAAAAGAAAAAAGAAGAGATAAGGTCAAAAAATAATTGGCCAGTTTGCAAGAAGAAATGGAAGGAAATAGAGTGTAGAAGTGTGGGGTTTTTCAGATTCTCTGATTGTAAGTCAATCAATATTTTTAGGTAAGTTTACTGACATAGAGACCTATTGGCTGTAAGCAGTACTCAGATCTTGCCCCTTCTGTGAGGATACCAGTATCAAAGGCCAGAGAGACAGCTCAGTAGAAGGGCACTCTGGCCAGTGCTCACTGCAGGAGCAAGTAGAGAACAGTGGGCTGGGACAGCCTTGTGGGCCGCTGCCAGTGGTTGGAAACTCCTCCTGGTAGCAGGATCAGGGCTTCAGCCAGGTGTGCATGGCAAGCTTCTAGGGGACTCTGGGGTCACTGCAGAGCAGTGACTTCTGAAGGCTTCCCATTCCACCTCTGCACATGGGAATGTCTGCAGTGGTTCTCCTCTTCCTGTGCCATCAGCAGTGATCAGGAGCAGACAACTTGCAGTTCATGAGTCACTTAGGTGGAGCCATACCCAGACTTGAGGGAACTGAGTGTCACCCAGATACTCTGGACTTTGAAGTGGAGATGGTGATGACTGAAGGAAAGGGTGTGTCGCGGGTCAGCAATGGGACTTTGATGCCAGGGTCTCATTCAGGTTCAATGGTAGGGGAAAAAAGGGGAAGGTTGGACTGCCTGGCAAGTGCCACAAGGCCTCAGCGGACCCATCAGAGCTGTCCCACGTTTGCCTGAAGTGATTTCCACCCCATAAACCTACTTTGGTCAGCTATGGGATTAAGCAGCTCTCTTCAGCAAGTACCACTGAAGGCTCTGCCAACTGGCCAGAGAGACAGGTCCAGGGGATGCTGGTGCTCAGAAAGATAAGTCTGTGACAGAGGCTGGTTGTACGATTCCTGGTCCTATTCCTTCATCACAAGAAAAGTGGAAACAACAAAAAAGCCATCACAGAAATGAAGAGCCACAGAAGAGGAGAGACATTAATTAAAATGTAAAGAAGAGATGAAAAACAGTATATAAAATGCACACAGTATTAAACAGAGATAGACTTCAGTGAAAGTAGTATCAGAGGGGCCAGGGACATGGCTCAGTAGAACAAGTGCTTGCCTGGCAAGCCCAAGGACCTGAGTTCAATCCCCGGTTCTGAAGAAAAAAAAGAAAGTAGTATCAGAGAAAAAAATGATAGATGCAGAACACACACAATTGCTTTCTTTGATGAAGAGATCCAAAATGATCACATAGAAAATCACACCTAAAATTAAAAGTTTTGAATGTTACAGCAAGAAAGGAGCACTTAGGTCTATAGTCATAAAAGGCATTTGACACAGGGCACATAGTAGACCCTCAATCTTGGATTTGTAGTTCATGCATTTTGCAGCAAGGGTCGCAAACCACTTCTGCACCTGTTCCTCCCTCCCGCACACTCAGCTGTGCTTCACAGCCAGCAGCTCCCTACCTGAGGCAATGTCCCTACACTTGGAAGGAGGTGAGCATCAGGCTTTACTGGTGCTGACGAATCTAAGAGATGCAAGTACAAGGAGTTTTTTGCTTTTATTTATTTTTTTTTCTGTATTTTAGAGAAAGGTCTACAGGGTGTTCAAGGTCTCACTATGTAGATCAGACTTGTAGTGATCCTCCTGTTTTCAGCCTCCCGGGCGCTGCGATT